TTTCTTCTATTCTCGTTTTCTTCTTCATTTCTCAGGTCTTCTTCTTGTTCATTTGAATATCGTCTTCTTCTTCTGCGATACCTTGTATCATCTCTTTCTTGATAACCATCATCTTGATCGTCCTGGACTTGGTCATCAGCTCTCTCTGAATACTCGTTTCTTCTTCTAGAGTATTCCTCTCTGTCTTCACCTTGATATGACTGACGCCCTCCTCTCCCTCGTCTGGGCATTCTTCTCTGAYTGTCATTGGTGATAAACTCCTGTAGGTCATACCTCCTGTTTCCTCTTGACTGTCCAGTTCTTCTCCTTTGATCTCTTTGAGACTCCTGGAGAGATGATTTGATAACAAGTAAGGTCTCTGAATTATTACATGTACAGTGTACTATATAATCCACCTAAACAAAATCACTTCTTTTGCTGTTTATATCAGGTTTTGTGAAAGAATGGAGGTCACATGTAAATCATACATGGTTGTTATGGAAACCTATATAATTTATAAGGTAAACACAATGGAAAATCATTGCCTTGACCACATCTTATATGAGCAAGAGATTTGCCCTGGTTTGCATACAACTTTGACTTTAACTCAATTTTCTCTTAAAAATGATATTTTATCTTGACGTTTTTTGCAAAATATGCTTTAGCTTGTGTTGGAATTAACCAATATAAAATATGAGCGTGAGACGTTTAGACCTAAAGGCCCGTTTACACTTGCGATTTTTAAAGCGCGATTGTCGCACGACAATCGCCTTAGTTTCGAACATGCTTGAAATTCAGCTGCAATTTGCGGCGATTTTCGATCGCCACGACAATCGCATTGCTGTTTACACGTACGATTTGAGGTGCGCAATAACAAAGTGGCGATCGTCGCGCGACATTCGCGCTGCAAAAATCGCAAGTGTAAACGGGCCTTAAGGACTCCCGTTCACATATATTACATAAAGAGTCATTAAATGTACATTGTATTATGAAAACTCATATTTTTGTGAATCCATACCATTCGTTCTTCTCTAGACTTTGGTCCTTGCTCCTCTTCAACATAGAGATCATGATGCCACATGTCATTYGATTTTTCCCAGAGTTTTCGGTTTGTTGGTGGTCTCCTATAGAATGAAACATTCTTATCAATTTGTAGACGTGCCGTTGTCCTTTAACGTTTTTATTAGATTGCGGTGCAACAATRACACATTAAAGATATATTACAAAACGAATAGGCTAAGTATATTACAAAATTAAGTACAAAAAAAGGTCATATATGGATTTACTTACTTGTTGATGGCGTGTTTAATTTGACTGAATAATATATACGGATTTGAYAAAATATAGCAAAAATATTACAAAGGAAGTGAATATTAATTRCGAAATGTTTTCTCTAGGGTATTATTTAAGTCAAGTCTTCATATGTATTGTGCCGTTATAAATTCATTATTTCTTTAGCTTTAACATATATAGGTTTAATGTATACAAACCTCTCTTCATCAGGAGTTGTATCATCCCAACGGTCATCATGGGACCAAAATGACTCTCGTCTTGGAACAAAGGATGGATCTTTAATTACTTCTGTTTCTTCTTTCACCTCTTCTTCATTTCGTTCTTCTTTCTGTAAAAGGAAGCAAACAATATTACATAAAGGGTCCATCAAAACAAAAGTTCAACAAGTGTAGTTTACCCATTCATCTTCGTTTTCTTGYGGTTCTTCTTCATYGTAATCRTGAACATGAAAGTCACCTTCTACTTTCTTCTCTGYTTCTTGCTCTTTCTCTGATTCTTCCTCTTCTTCTTCAGAACCGTCACCACTCTGTTTTAAGTAAGATTGTACACATGAGATAATCATTTAATAATTAAATGATATAAATTATATGATTAAACTTGCTTTCACATACACAAACATTGCAAACTTATCTAAAAAAAATCATCGTATTATTATTAATATATTATTAAATGTATAGTAAAACTTGATGTAGTTGAGTGATTGCATTTAACCGTGCAACTGTGCAAACTAAATAGTCCTATTTTTGTATTTAGTAAATCATGCATGTGTTACGCAAATTAAATTGAATTAATACAGATGAAGCATCCACAATTTCTTGCTCCAGGTCCACTTTTAGTACAAATTAGTACTACTTAGAGTCATCGCACAATCTGTGCAACTGTGCAAACTAAATAGTTCTATTTAGTTGTATTTAGTAAATCATGCATGTGGTATGTAAGTGAATTGCTACAAATGAAGCATTCAATACCGTCTTGCTTCAGGTCCACTTTTAGTACAAATTAGTACTACTTTGATTTTGTACAGTTGCACAGTTTAAGTGGGATCACTGTACCGTCTTGCTTTCAGGTTCACTTTTAGTACAAATTAATACTACTTTGATTTTGTACAGTTGCACGGATTAAGTGGGATCACTCTACTAGCCAAATAGTGCTACACTGTAAATAAAGATGAATAAATTACAGAAAAAAACGAACTAGTACTATCTAATTAGTTAACTATTTCCTACTTTCAGGCTGTGAGAGACTTGATCCAAGTACTGACCTTAACAAGCAAGATGTGAGATAAGACATGGAAAGAAAGATAGCGGATAAAAGTTAACAATTTACAGCCATTTGTGAACTATGCTGGAGATTCCAAAGACATGTAAATGAGTACATTGTTGGTACCCATCTTATATACCCAGTCTCTCAATAACTGAAACCCAGCAATGGTAATAATACATTATATATATATCAATACCTCAGAATCTTCATCATAATCACTACCACTAGTAGACTCTGCCGTTGAATATGATCCTGATGAAG